CAGGCTGAGCAGCTGAAGGTCCTTTTCCGTTTCCTTCCTTGGCAAAAGGTTGTGTCTCCATCCTTTCTCTTTCCTGCAGAGCAACTCCAGATGGGTCCAAGGACTCTGGTGGGTCTCCAGATTCCTTTTCCTTCACGGGACCATTTCTGGGGCCCCAGGACGGATCCCTGCAAGTTATACTGCTCTTTTTTCTTTTGGCCATGAGAAAAAAATTGGCTTGTAAAGGTTTCAAATGGCTTCGAGTTTCTGTATCTGAGATGGAAAGAAAAAAAAAAAACAAACTCCAAGAATTAGAAAGTGGAATTCAGCCAATGAACAAACTTCACCCAACTTGCCCGGAGCACCAAGCGGCTCATCCCAGCGCAGGGCCGGGAAGGAGGCAGCTGGAGAGGCCGCCCCGCTTCTCTCCCCCTCCGGAGACAAGATCGGGCCCTCGGGGAGTCTGGTTCGCCCGGCTTCTCTCCTGCTGGGCCTCGGCAAGGCGGACCCCCAGATCCCCGCCGCCTTACTGGGATCCCCGCTTCCCTCTGCAGGGAGAGAGTGGCTGGGGAGCATAGGACACAGAAGAACCACCCCGCCCCTCACCCGGGGCACGTCTGGATGTTCCCCCGCCAGACTCTCCCGCAGCCTCTGCGCCTCCTACGGAGCCCCAGGGGTTAAAGAGAGCGAGTGCGGCGTCCTGGAGGGGCAATACTCAATGATATCACTTCCTTCTCCGCCTCCCGTGGAAAGCCAGCCGTGACGTTCTCCCTCCAGTGGGCCAATGGGGAAGCGCCTGGAGTTCCCTTCCTTTGGCGGAGGGCGCCCTCTGGTGGATTTGTGGCAAAGTGCCAGGATCGTAGAAACGGCGGGAAAGGGGATCGCATGGGATGGGGAAGGGAAAGGGCAGGGAAGATGGGCTTGGGAGTAGGGGGAAGAAAGGCTCCTTGTCAAAGACTTCAGAGGCGGCACTTTCTCCATCTTCCTTTCCCTACTGTCTTTGGAGATGGAGAAAAACCTCTTTTCAGGATTTGAACTCGCCTCCCTGAACTTGCCGCCCTGAAGGCTCCGCAGACATCGGAGGATCCAAATCCTGTCAGAAACTCCTGTCAGAAACAGCCGGGAGGTTGGAAGAGGAGGACCGGGACCCTCTCCGGGGAACCCAGTTTGTGTCTGCGGGTGTTGCGGGTTTGTGTCTGCGGGTGTTGAGAAAAATGATTCAGACTCTTCCCTCAGCCTCTCAGCCGCGGAAAGGGCAGGGACCCCCCCCCCCCCCCCCTTGTCATCCAGCGCAGAAACTCTTCCTACGGCAGAATCGTCACATTAAATCAACCCCTCTCTCTCTCTCTCTCTCTCTCTCTCTC